CCGCGTCCCACGTGAAAGGGCCTTAAGAAGAAATCTGAAGTAAGGAGGCGGTCCAAACCCAAACTTCGTAGCTTTGTTGTCTAAAGACGTACCATCACCAGCGGGATGATTTTATATAACGAGACGCAGATGAAGATGCACGCTGGAAGGTGGATTTTTCTTTTCGCCCTGTGGGTCGTCTGTGTGTCTTCAAATGGTAAGTGCTTCTGTGAAAAGTGTAGAGAAAAAAAAAAGGTCTAATCAGTAAACGTTTTTGATCAAAACACGCTTTTTAAAGTTCTTTTGATTGACTATTTAAACTTGGTGAACAGTTCAGAAATCTATTGATGAAAGTTACTCTTAATGTATTTACATCGTTAAACTATCAACTAACATTCATGAGACATTTCATAACGCATTAAATTCTCTACCATTTGATTAAAAAAAACTCAGAGCAGAACTCTCAGACCATAGCTTTCATTGAAATAAAACACATAACATAAACTCAGTGAGAATTTTCCACCCGCTTCAGATGTTGTCACTGATAACATTCGAAGCGGATGAATTTCCAGGATTTTTGCAACCTGTTTATCTTGCGTCTTCCGCAGTTTTGCTTTCAAACATGTCTAAACGTGAATAGAATGTGAACAGACAAAATAAATAGAAACTTTTTTGTCCAATGTTGTGTGATCTTGTTTATTGTAGGAGGAAGTTTGCACTCTGAAGTATGAAGAAGCATTTAGAAAGCGAACTCAAAATCGTGACTATAGTCATGATATCCTGGAGAATCAAACCGAAATCTTACAGATTAGTCACGAAGCTTGAAGAAAATACAGGAGAAACTTTTATCACTGCTCATACCAAACTAATAATAATACAAATATTTTCTCTGCATTTTTAACTATATATTCGTACTATCTTTCAAGATTTTTTTTAATACTGAGCAATACAGAGAAATAAGATTTATATTTAATAGATTCACATCCTTTAATGCTTACTTGAAGAAATAAAGTCTGGAGATCTACTGTAAGGAGGAGAAATAGGTTCTTCTGCTTGCTCTTTAGTCATTTGAATATGAAACGGGTAACCTGAACTTATTCTCATATTTAATTTTCCCTTTCAGATGAAGAATCATGTGAAGATTTAGGAGAATTTTGCAGCATGAGCAGACTGAGCATTTCACTTGGCTCATCTGTGTTCCTACCGTGCACTGCTCGGCCAGCCAGTTCCAACTGGGTGACATGGAGCCACATTCCCAAAGGGGAGGTGGTCAACCTGTCACCTTTAGGACATGTTAAGTACCAGGACCCCAGAAATGGCAGAGTTAAAACCTTTCCATTTCAGGGCTTGGAGGGAAACTACTCCATCAGAATTGATGATCTTGAGTTAACAGACCTTGGATGTTACTCCTGTATACAGAATAACATCCATCACCACTGTTTTCAAGTGGTGATGGTTGAAGTAGGTAAGTGGATTTTTATTTGTTTAAGTTAAGTTGAGCAGCACCCTGCAGTTTCTTCCTTTTTATGGTCACAAACCTCAGGCTCAACATACACAAAAAGACAAATGAATAAGCTACTGTTTCCTATTATTAATATGTTGTGGAATCACCTGCAGGTACAAGGAGGGACATGCAGATGATTTACATCTGTGTTAGTGTGGTTGCTCTCCTTCTGCTGTGTGTTGGCGGCTACACCTGCAAGAAATGCATAGGTGAGAACCTGACATGTCTGAAATTCTCATTCAGTAGAGATGGTAAAAGAATCTGGGTGGTTGAATTGCTAAGTGGGTCAAAGTTAACGTTGATTATAAAGCAATATTGTAAGCTTCCTGTATATAATGATGTG